TCTTAACTTTAATCCAAATACATTAATAACACCAGGGGAATAATCCTATAATCTAGCTTCAAATAACACCATCCATTGAATTTAGTTACATTTTTACTAACCGAAACAGTATAAGTGAAGATAGAAGGGAAACCGTTATTTCTGAATTTAGACATATTTACATGCTATACTTTATATGGATATAAAGAGAGGAAATATACAACATGAGATGGAGTAGTGGAGTGAAGCGCCCGCATCAGCAGTCAATCTATGGTAGGCAAGTGAATGATGCGGTGCCATGATTGCTATTCACTGGTGACGAAGGGAAGCGGCGGATAAACAAAGGAGATGTCCCTGGCCGCCATGCCTCTCCCCTGGGAGCCCTCCCGTTTGACGCTTCTCGTAATCTTGCACGCAAACAGGGCTCCAAATAGTTGAGAATTCGCACAGGGTAACTTGTTAGTATATCAAAAAAGAAACTAATGATGCTACACCAACTCTGCCCTGCTGTAGCAAACATGCAAGCTTACACCAGTGCAAATGTTATTCACATATTACTCTGCGATTCACATGAAAAATATAGAGACAAGGCCCTAAACATGCCTGATATAGACGTCCAGTAAGTAAAATAGCTAGTCACACACACAGAAAAATCAGAGAAGAACTTTTAGGTAAAATCCCTAGAGTTGATGGGAAAGGCCCCACAAAGCATTGAAAGTTGCAAATTTAGCAGAGCATATAGAACCATACTTTATATTGTCTTAGAGAACAGAGCAGCCATACGTCTTTTAAGAAATATCAGTCAGATTATAAACAGAGTACCTTGCTAGTTGCAAAGCCTCCTTCAGTACCATCTTTATACGTTATTTAGTAAGGATCCCTAACTCAAATTATCCTAACAGAACAGCTCATAATTGTATGCATAATATGCACATAAATTAGAAAAAAAATCAATATTAGAGATGAGTAACATGTCCTAATATAATAAGGTGGATTGGCATGTACGGAAAACAAACATGTGTTGTCCCTCCAAGACATCTCTGCACGCAACATTCTTGGTTATTTTTCCAGTGGGATGAATAAACTATGTGTAGACATGCAGAAATTATTATCACATTCCAACCGTCGGCATGTAAAAATACAAAGCAATAATTCATTGGCAATAACAAGTACAGCCTTGATCCTAAGCCCATAGTTATTTAGCACCAACAACAATTTATTAAGAAAGAAAAACACCCAGTGGAACGCACCTGAGTTGACCAGAACATGTTTTTTTATTATTAGAATGGCATTTTAACTTGAAGGAGGTAATAATACGCACCATCTACAACAGACAGTGTTGGGGGCTACCAACTTATAAGCATAACACTAACCGTCATGTTCAATTCAATTTTTAAGCTCAGACCGTATCTTGAAAACGCGAAGTGCTTTTGCTCAATACTTGGTGCTACCATTGATTTTGCTCCCACTTATGCTCTCGGGTGTTGACTAAGGGAGTTACTGGAAAATAGGCCAGTCTTTGATTTTGTCTATCTTTACACTGCAGATCAACATCTCAGTTTAGTCAAATTCTTCCTTTTGAAGTCATGGGACAAGCTGAGCAGATCATTCCAATTAATTTCCTTTTCTGAGAATCTATTCATTAACATTAGAGATGACAACTACTTCTGATTGCATTTTGCAAAATCAAAGGTAAAGGACTCAAAGCAGTTTTGATTAGATCTCAATCTCTGGAAGAGTTTATCTGACAACCTGCAGAAGACTACATAATCTGAAACGTAAATATATATCAGTGCAACAGGAGACAGCTGAAACAAAGAATCTAATATGTGCGTAGTTAGCCTAATAGTTGATAATTCATAGATTATTTGTATCAATTGGAGAACGGGGAACTAAAACTGCTACTTGAAATTAATGTATGAGTCTCTTGCACTAACATTGTTCGGAATTATCATCTAAACAATTACTAATTGTATAGAGAGTATAACTAAAACTATTGAAGATTTATCTAATCAAAATTTATTTCAAAGTCTTAAGCCACACAGGAGATCGAATTTGAAAGCACATGTAGCTTCTAGGTAGAGCGCAAAGCTGGTGTACTGCAGGGATTCAGGACGCTGTAGGAGATGCACACAGGACACCACCCCTGTTGGTTCCCCACGCTCCTGTATTTGCATGATATGGTCATGAGCAGTGCTGGTAGATGGACACCAAAAGTACCAATTTTTCTTGATCAAACGTTAGGGATTAATGCAATCTATAGAGAGGCTTCTGTGGCTGCTTGAAAGGGCTGTACAATAGGGCAAAGATTTCAGGATAATTGATCACTTGCCTACACTGTGAGGACATGAGTGACAGGCCATGAACTCCAACAGACAAGAGAGTAGGTGGTGTAAACAGCAGAGCATCCGCACCTTGGATGGATCGGCTTAGGCCTTCTTCAAAGCTCAGCGCCGAAGTTCCTGGTGATTGGAGTGATCCCCACCGGTAGTTGGATATTGCTATTGCAACGAACAAGATCGGGTTCAGTTCAGGAAAAAGAACGGAAGAAAGAAAAACAGGATTGGGATTCGATCCTTGCGCTGATTTTCTTACCCCTCGAGCACCCGCCGATGTTGCCGATGTCCCCGAGCACCCGCCTGTTTCCTCCTGCAATGGCACTACGGCACCTGGACATCATCAAAGAGAAACATGAGTAAAGATGAACGGCGACAACCCAGGGACGAACAGATGAACCAGTGACCCAACGATTGCGCCGACCAAGAGGAAGTGCAGGCGGCATGCTATGGGAACGGCGACGGTGGACCATGCGATGACCCACGGCGAACGACGCGGGAGGAGGAGGAGGGGGCGACTGGGGTCGTGCGGGCGGGACGAGGGAGGAGGCGTTGGCGTACCTGCGACGGCAGAGGAGGAGAGGCAGGTGCGCGACGGGCGGCGGCTCCGTGGCTCCGGCTCTCTCGCGTCGAAGGGCGGCGACCTGTGGCGTCTCTCCCCGGCGCGCGACGGGCGGCGGCTCCGGCTCTCCCACGGCGAAGGGCCCGATGGGCGGCGACTTGCCGACGGCTCCCGCAGCGAAGGGTGGCGACCTGTGGCGGCTAACGGCTGCGAGAGGAACAGCGGGGCGGCGAACGACGCGGGGGGAGGAGGAGGGGGCGACTGGGGGTCGTGCGGGCGGGACGATGGAGGAGGAGGGGGCGGCTGGGGGTCGTGCGAGCGGGGCGACATGTCATGCGAACGGGCTGGGTGGGTTAGCGATTGATTGTGGCTTGTTGCGTGGTTGGTAGAGTTAAACACAGAATGATTAAGGGCCATTAGATTTTGATGATGGATGGATGTGATTGTTTGGATCTGCCCCTCTCTTCCTTTTATAGTGGTAGTAGATAATGGCATGGTGGGTAATTAAAGCGTAAAACGTGTTTAGTATCTGGAGGGATGTAGACCATCAGATTGTAGGTTTCGATGGATAGGATGATTTGATTCTTCGCCCTGTCTTTCTTTTATAGTGGTAGTAGATAAAGCGGGGGAAAACCCTTTTTCGTAACATTGCCGCTCCAGTCCAGGGGGAAAAAGAAACACCGTGAGAGAATGATCACGTTGTTGGGTGGTTAACCCAGGATCACGCGAGCTAACACGGCACAACTCAATGCTCGCCGGCATGTATGTATGTGGCCAGGGTGCCTGCAGCAGCACAAGGCTGTAATTAAGCCTGCAGTAATTAAACTTGTAAGGATTAGTCTAGCCATTAACGGACGCAGGTACCGAGGGCAGCTTGTCGATCACGATCTTTCGACATCCGGCCGTTCACAGTAAAACAAACAAACGAAGAACAAAAGGACAGGAAGCGAAAGCGAATGAGAAACGGACGGGCAGGGAATGAGACGCCCACCATCGCCGGCTCGCCTCCACGATCCCTTCCTTGGCGCAGACTCCACACACACATCGCCAACATGCATACATGGGCGGCCATTACGGCGAGTGGTCGCTGATGCTACGGCGTCGAAAGTTCAGAGGTCGGCCGGGTTTCAAGGAGAGCGGGGGCCGGCGGCCGAGGTCCGGTCGCTGCCGGCTGCTGGCGCGTCACATCCATCAGGTCCGTGCCATCCTTGCATCGCTCTGAACGTTCGGAGATAAGTTCCCTTTTTCTTGGACCGTCCTTTCGGTGTGACGGAACGGGTTTACTGACAGCAACATGCCATGGGCGGCTGCACGCAGCGAGGAATCGGGGCTGCATTGCCGAATTTCAGCCGAACTGGCACATGCGCGGTGTGCTCCTCGAAATAATATCAGGCGTCTAGAAAGGTGCTCCTCCTGAATGACACTTTTTCTGAAGAGAAACTTACTAATCAGTCGGGTTCACATGGAAACAACCAAATGTTATGATTCATTGGTGCACAGACCATCCGATTAATAGTCCCTCCGTTTTTATTACTCCGCATATTACAGTTGACTGAAATCAAACTTTGTAAAGTTTGACCAAATTTATAAAAAAATATAAATACTTAGCATAACAAATCTATATGATGTGGAAGTACATTCAACAACGAATCTAATGATATTGATTTGTTATTGTATATGTTAATATTTTTGTCTATAAACTTTGTCAAAGTTTGTAATGCACTGGTTTGTAATGCAAGAAATTGACCAGAATTTTAAAGCTGAAATCAGTATTCAAACCAAGCTGCCATGCGCCCTACCTGCTGCTGCCTTGAATCGCAGACCGATTCCGGTGTGCTGCCGCTCGGGCCCACAGCTCAGACGCCCACTGCATCACGCCCGTAGCCCGAGTTTAATTAACAATGGTTTTCCTTCCCTTAATTAATTAAATAATAACTCGGCCAGGCAAGGTTCTTAACGCCAGAATTTACCAAACTACCCCTCTTTCTCTCTTCCGCCTGGCTATAAATTGCGGCCGCCCGGCTGCCATCTCTGGTTACCCAAACCGGCAGCGAACCACCGGAGCTCAACTTACATAGTCACACACCAAAGCCACCGCCCATCCACCTCCCAAATCTCTCATCATGTCGACGGCGGCTGCATCTCGGCCCAGCGGCTCCATCCTTTTGACTCCCTTTCCCAACTACCAATCCGCCCCGCTCTCTCGCGTCAAGCTCCCCGCCGCCGGCGCCGGCCGCTCGCCAAGCAAGTCCGTCAGCGCCTCGTCTCCCCGCTCCTCCCCCGCGGGCGGCACCGCCACCCCGAAGACCCGTCGGACATGCATGTGCTCTCCGACGAACCACCCGGGCTCGTTCCGCTGCAGCCTCCACAAGGAACGCAAGCAGAAGGTCCCGGCCGCAGGCAGCTGCAGGAAGCCATCCTCCCCGCCTTCGCCGCCGTCGAAGCGCACGGCCAGCCCGTTCGCGCAGCTCGGCCCCATCGGCAGCGGCTGCGCCAAGGGCACGGGCCGCACGCTCCCACAGCTCGCTCCCATGGGGAGTGGGCACTGGGCGCGCAGGGCGCTCGCGCCGTCCCCCACGGCGCAGCAGGTGCAGTACAGAAAGCGCGCGAGCCGGTTCCACCCCGGGCCCAGCAGTCTCTCCGCAGCCTCCATGGCCGGCCACCGCGCAGGCGGCAGCATCCAGTAAAAAAACAGCGTCGACATGCCATACTAGTACATACTGCACAAACTGTTCATAGGAAAGAAATTCCCCGAATAATTCCGATCGCTGTATAGAAGGAAGATCGGTGGGGATCAGGCCGGGAGATTGGAGTTTTTAAGACCCAATTTGATTCCGGCCTGTTCAATTAGCTGTAGATAGAGTGGCTGTACATATTCCTGCCGCTGTACATAGAGTGATCGTCTTCCTCCTCCCCGCTGCACATAGAGTGAGTTCGTCTTCCCTGCTCCACTTGTACATAGAGTGAGCTCTCTGCCCGCTGTGTATAACTCCCTGAGTTTGGTTTTGGATATACATCAATGCAATGAGTGACAAATTGGAGACACATACATGCATATGATCTGATCTGTTGACGGGAGGCTTATCCATCAATGGATCGTGGATGATTTGCCGCAACAACTTTCCGCTTCTGTTTCTGGAGTGTGGGTGTGTCTCGCCTCTGTTTCGGTTTTAGATAAGCTCCGCAAGAGATGAGTGGCGTCTCGCCGTCGCGTGCTCCCGTCACGCGGCCGGCACCCGTGCGTGCCCCCAGCCGGCGGGATCAGGCCAGCAACTTTCAGCACGGCAGAAAATCTCCGATTCTGACGAGATTTCTATGGAACTTCATGACGCGCGCAACTGATAAACCGAGGGTTTTTCTTCTTCTTTCCCTGCTCGTGAAGTACTAAAATAAGTATTTTGATCAGGCCAGCGATTTGCAGCTCACGAGAGAAATCCCTCGATTCTGAAGAAATTTCTGTCCAAGTTTCATGGCACGCTCAACTGATGAACTAAGGATTTTTCTTTGTCCTGCTCCTTATATTATAAGCTGTATTTTTTTTATCCGTGGTATTTTACTGTTCTTTCAGAGCAGTGGTACTATTTTATTGTTGGCTTGAGGGACGGCGTAGCGGTTGGGATTCCCCCTCCAAGTCTTAAATTGCACAAGAAGATGGTGTTGAAAAATATTTCCTCCATCCGAAAATATTTGTCATCAAAATGGATAAAAAGAGATGTATATAAAAGTAAAATATGTCTAGATATACCCCTTTGTTCATTTTAATGACAAGTATTTCCGAACGAAGAGAGTAGGTGGTACTTTTGTTCAGAAACCTCGCGCAAGAGGGCAGGAAGTTCCTGCATTTCATTACATTAAAAAGAGGAGTGTTAACCCTAAAAAAAGAGGAGAGTTGGTGCACTTCAAAAGAAAAATCCGACCTGAAAATGTAATATTCTTGATTAATCAGGAAAACGAATGAAAATCCAAAAAAAAAAAAAACTCGGCCTGGAAGCAAGGCTGGCTGGCACGACACGGTGTAGCGTGGTATTGTACTCAGATCTTCTTATGCTCTCTTTAGGTTCCGTAGTCACTCATGTCCTACGTGATCCTATAATCCTGGGATCAACGTTGTATGCGGCCTTCCTCATTATTTTGTATCGTTCAATTGTTTCTTCAATTGTTGCTTTATATATAAAATGGGGTAAAACCTTATTTCAAGCAAGTTCCGTTTTGTTTTCTCTTTCTTTGAAAAAGAGAGCTCACTCCTTGATTTCAATCAAGCTCCATATTTCCACACTCCTCATCCGATGAGCAATTTGAATCTATTATTTTCTTACAGAAGAATCATAAAAAACTGGCCGGTCAATTTGTCGAACACGTAGAGGGCAAGGTGCAATATTAGAATAGTTGGGCGTACCCCACCGGCATCCGGAGCGACGTGACAGCCCGTGAAGAGGTTTGTGCCGCCGGCGGCGGCAGCGTTGAGGGGTCAGGACGGCGGTGGAGCTAGAGTTGCGATGGAGCAAGTGGAGTGCCTAGGCAGACGAGGGAGAAGAGAGAGAGGAAAATGGCTCGCCCGACAAAGTTAGGGAGAATTGGTGCAATTTATTGCCGGTCCTGCTTGCTAGACTGGATATGGCGGACACGTCCGAGCATGTTAAGGCCTCCTCATATCTGCCACAGATTTAGTCTGGATATGAGCGATGCCGAATACCAACAAAAAATAAAAATCAAAAATGAGGAGTGTTGATCGGCCCGGAAATATAGGGCCAGCTTGAGAAGCTCGGCTGGCCATATTTTCGTGACTGGAGATTGACCGGACCGTCCACTCGCACATATAGAGGGTTTGAGAAGTCTGGCTGCACATGCTCTGGTAGACTTCTCAAACCCTCTATAGAGGGTTTTACGCGGTGTAAACACTGGTCGACCAGCAACTTCTAGTCTAGTCATGGGTTTAAACTATAGTATGGGTCATGACTCATGCGAGAGTACATATTTCTAGTACTCTCTCCGTTTCTAAATATAAGTCATTTTAGAGATTTTAATATAGACTATATACGAAACAAAACGAGTGAATCTATGC